CTCAGCAACAAGAATGGAACTCACTCCTACACCTCCTCCTCCCAAATTCCCACTGGCTCTTCTTCCCCTGAAGGAAAACCCTGCAGTCACTCAAGCTGCATTGCACAATAGTTGTGGCTTGAAGTAACCTGCCTTCTTCCCCCATTCTCAATGGTGTGAAAATGAATTAATGTTTCAATAGCCTGCAAATGATCCAGTAGCAGAAGGACAGATTTGTCTTTCCCTTCTGTGGCTGCAGATGCTGACAGATATGATGGTAGAATGATGGCCTGGGAAACAGCCTTTCTTGAGCCACAGGAGAAACACTAGAGGCTTTCCCTCCAGCAGCCTTTATTACTCTTCTCCTGGAGGAGATGGGAACCAATCACCAGAGAGTTCAATGAGCTAAAAGCCACCTTCCTCAGTGCCCAGAAGAGAGTTGAAAGCCAGAGAATTCACCTCTTCCCTATTCCCTCTCAGGAAAACAGGATCATCCACACAAAGAATTTGCTAGAACAGTCCTTGTGCTTCTGGTCTGACCTGAAACCTGCTGAAGCACAGGCAAGAGCTTGGGGATGGCCTGAGCTCCCAGCTCTGGTGCATGTTAGGATGCTCCCTGGCAGGAAGTGGAGGGGATGCTGTGGCAGGTAAAGGATGTCTCTGCCCTTTTTGCTTGGCATGATGCTTTCAGGAAGACCACTAGTGTTAGGAAGAAAGTTTATGCTGGCAGGAGATCCTCTGGTCAACCGAGCAATTTGAAGTCGGATGCCTGTCATTCACCCCAAGAGCAAAGGTGTCATTTCCTATCCAGCCATTGCTGGCATCTCTGCCCTTGGTTCCCGCTTCGCTGCACGTATCAGGAGTCTCTAAAGGACAAAGTCTAGTGTTTGCTAGAGATTTCAGAGAGGTTTATGTCACGTGGACCTTCTGTGGACCTCCTGCTCTGGACAAAGCACCCAATACACTCTGGTCTGTGTTGGTGAAATATTAGATTTATAGTCCAAATAGCCATGCCAAAAGGTTATGTGCTTCTGTCTCCCTGTCAATCCTTTGGCTGCCCTCACTGCAGGGACAACAAAAGGCATCTCTGGAAAAATCTATTGCCCTTTCCCCAGCAAGCAGAACCAGGCCATCCTGCTCAGTGAAATACACACAGATCCAGAGGAAATGATACAAAATAGGGCTGAGAAAGCCAAATCAAACACCAGTGAGAAATACCTGTGTACGTCTTGCCACAGGAAGAGTGGAAGACTCCTGGCATGGAAGGTGTGTCCATTTGGTTATTTGTACAGACTCAGGCTGGTTCCCTAAAGATGCCTTGAGGAGTGTGGCACTGGCATCTGCCTTGTGTTCCCCTCTTTATCACAATTTCCCATTATCCTTTCTGAGTTCATTCAAATTTATCTCCTCTTTTTTTAGGTCCTCTCCCTCTTTTGGTCTTTGTAGCAAGGAGAGAAAGCACGGTGATGCCCATCTTGCCCCTGCTGCCTTTGGGCACAGCTGGCATGAAAGCATGAAGTGCAGTTCTTCTGTCCTGGGATCTGAGGAAGTTGAGATGTGTCTCTGCATTTAAGATGATTTCATTTTAAAAATAAATTTATGCACATAAGCTTAGAGTAAACTTATAAAAGAATGCTTAAATTAAGGCCATTAGTGTAAACTGAAAACTCTGCCTCTTCCCCTTCTAGCAGTTTCCTGTTTTGTCCTCTCTGCTCTTATGATGCCTCTGTGCATATACTTAATGGTAATTAAAGACAATAAACTTCTAAGAGTAGTGACAGATCTTTTTCTGACTTGACTATGTGATCCCTACCAGAAAATTAATTCCATAAATTCAGCTGTGGAGATCAAAAGAGCAAGTTGTAAGCATGTGCCCAGCTCCATTTGTTGCAGTGAACGATTTATTTATATCCTACTTGATCCATTGCTGGAAGCCATTTGTTCATTGAGCTTGTGTGCAAACTTCAAGTAAGGCTTTGTAGGGTGAGGAAATGCAAAACTTGGGTCATTCCTGAAGAGTCAGTGGGCTGATTAAGCACTGGGGAGCAAAGTGTCTGTGGAGCTAGAGCAGAGAACCTGACACTGTGGCTTAACTGATGCCTCAGGAGCTAAAGACAAAAGAAAAAAAAAAGAAAAAAATTAATATAAAAATAAAATAAAAATAAAAGGAGGTCAATAAAAAAGTGCTGGTAGTAAGCTGGTTAGTGAGGTGGCTGAGCAACGTTTGGGTTTTTCAGCAAATACAGGCAATTGCTCACCCTGACTTGCATGCATGCACACACACATATGGATGTTCCATACTGTGGCAGCTCATTACAGATTCCCACAAGAAAACCATTAGGGAGGAAATTCTTGCTGTTCTGATGTGGTCGCCTTGTTCTTGTAAAAGAAAAGCTGTTGTTTCCATTTTGCACTGGTTTTGTGTTTTGGGGAGTGGAGAGCATTATAATGAAATAGTGCTGTGAGTGTATGTGTAATATTTTATCCCTGTGGATACAGTCTTTCACAGTGGGTCCAGCGAAAATGGAGCCCCCAAAAAATGGAGCTTTCCAGATATGTTCATGAACCAACACAGCTGCAGAAAAAGTACTGTCAGAGGAATTTTTCTCACATCCCTGCTTTTCTTCATCTTCTGTCTCAGCCTGCCGCAGTGTTTGCCTGCCCGTCTGCAGAGGGCGATGCAGCATCAGTTTGACCAGACATGGTCCTCTGGCTTTCCCTCATCCCCAAGTTGCCCTTGGTCACCAAGACATTGCAGGGGTTGAGGGCTGAGATGGGGCCACAGCTAGAGGGGAAAAGGAAAGGACCAGGCCAGAAACACAGGTGTATTTCTCTCTCTTAATGCCAGCTGTGCAGCAGCTGATGCAATGGGAGACTGCAATGGGTTTCACTTTCCTGTTAAATCCTGCTGCACAGGAAGACTTGAATAATTTGCTGAAACTTTGAAGGCCGCTGTAGGGACAGCTGGTTATTTCATGAGTTTGTACAGGACTCAGAAATGTGAGTTTAAATCTACTTTAAAAGGCAAGAATGAAATCTTGAAGTGAAAAGAACCTCAGCAACCATACACTTGCCTGGTTTTCAGACTTCAGTTTGCATGTTACCATTGCCTTTTTGCAGAAAGGAATAGTAGATGTCCTCTGCCAGTAGAGGCATCTCTCTCTAGTCTCCATGAGAATACCCATGAGAATTCATGGGTATTTGTGACCAAAAAAAATCACTTTGTGTCCTAGAGTCATGATGGTCAGAAAAGACCTCAAAATGATCATGTACATCTGTTAACCCAGCATCACTAAAGCATAGCCCAGAGTTACATCCACATGCCTTTTGAACACTTCCAGGTGATTCCAACACTTACCTGGGCAGCCTGTTCCAATGCCTGACCATCCTTTCAGAGAATATTTTTTTTTCCTAATATCCAATCTAAACCTCCCATGACACAACTTGAGGCCATTTCCACTCATCCTGTAACTTGTCACCTGTAAGAGACCCCTTCACCTCACTAAAACTCCTTTCAGGTACTTGTAGAAGTGATGGGGTCTTCTGAGCTTCCTTTTCTCCAGGCTAAACAACTCCACTTCCCACAGCTGCTTCCCATAAGACTTGTCCCATAAAAAAACCCACTGCATCCTCTCTTTAATCCAGTTCTTCCTTGAATTATTGGAATTAATTTGCTGCAAAGGTTTGGGGGTGGGATATTTTGGAGTCTCCTCAGGTATAGGCTGGGGCCAGTGAGCAGCTTGAAAGCTGAATTTCATTCTTTGTCACTGAAGTTTGCCAGAAAGGTCATTTCCTTGGGCATGTAAGGAGGAAAGTACTCAGAATTGTTTTCTTCCATTTATTCCCAGTTCAGTTTGTGGCAGGGATGGAGATCCTTCCAGCTCAGTGTAATCCTTTGAGGTTGGTTTTTTCCATGATACACCATCAGTTTATAAAAACAGCTTCTCTTTTTTTAAAGCTTTTTGCAGTAGAACTGGAGCAGAATGTGAAGCACTTGCTTGAACTTTGCACCTGGATAAATTTAGGGAGCAAAGTCTTGACCTTTTTTTTAATAAGTGTCACCTACATCAATGACTCCTTGAGGTGCTTTGATTCCGTCTTAAATTTACAGAAGACAAACAAGTGTTTTGGCTCTACCAGAGGCCTCCGGGTGAAGGGATCTCTAAATGCTTTCCTACTCTTGGGTGGGATGAGAAAGGGAGGGCTGAGGCCAGAGCTGTGTGGGAAGAACTGGATGCAGTGGGTGCTGCTCACTGTCGTGGCCTTGTCCCATGTTCAATAAGGAAACAAAAGACCCTCTTGCAGTGCCAGGAATACACAGACAGTGTTGTGCCTGCCTTAGGCACGGGATAGGCAAATGTATCTGTGTAGCTGTACTGGCAGCAGGTGAGGTCACTCACTCTGCTGAGCCTGGAGGAGACCTCACTGCAGTGACACCTTCCTCCTGAGGGGAAGAGGAGGGCCAGGCACTGATCTCCTCTCTCTGGTGCCCAGTGACAGGGCCCAAGGAAATGTCCTGAAGCTGTGTCAGAGGAAGTTTAGGTTGGATATTAGAAAAAAGTTCCTCACCCAGAGGATGTCTGGGCACTGGAACAGGCTCCCCAGGGAAGCGGTCACAGCACCAAGCCTGACAGAGTTAAAGAAGCATTTGGACAATGCTCCCAGGCACAGTGTGTGATTCCTGTGGTGTCCTGTGCTGGGCTGAGAGTTGGACCCGATGATCCTTGTGGGTCCCTTCCAAGTCGACATATTCTGTGGTCTTCAAAAATGTCAAGGAAGCAAATAGGAATATGAGGAAGTAAAAAGGGTAAACGCACTAATGCTGTGGTTTGGGGGCAATCCACGGTAGGAAAAGTAGCTGGAGAATGCGGGCATCGATCCCGCTACCTCTCGCATGCTAAGCGAGCGCTCTACCATTTGAGCTAATTCCCCGCACTGGTTTTCTCGTGGCCCAGCGCAGGCATATTGACTTCTCGCGAGACACCGTGCGCCGCTGGCAGTTGCACGTCCCGGTCGGGGGTCCCAGTGCGCCTGCGCGGGAGCGCGACGGCCGGGGCTCGGCGGCGGGCCGGGCTGGGCGCGCGCCGGGAGAGGAGGATGCGCCCCGCGGTGAGACCTGGAGCGGGAACGGGGCGGGAATGCGAGTGGGAACGGGGTGGAAGTGGGAACGAGATGGCAATGGGAAGGGGAATGGTGGGGGGCTGCGAAGGGCTGTGTGTTTGGCGGGCAGGATGCGCACGGCTGTGTGTGTGGGGCGGCGGTGCGTGTGGAGGTCGGAGCAGGGGGCTGGAGCGCCCGGCACGGGCTCTGCCAGGGGCCTGCGCTGGGCTTGGAATCGCGGCGGGGCTGCGCTGGGGTCAAAACAGAACGAAACAACCAAACACCCCCCCTCCCTCCTCCCCATAAAATATCGAGCCCCCACCCCGCCCCCCGGCTGATGAAGGGCCGGGAGCTGCCCCGGTGACCCCGGGTGGTGCTCGGGGAGGCTTCGCCTGCCCGGCCGCTCCTCACGGCCCTCGGGGCACAGAGCCCGCAGCACGCCCTGCGGGGCTCGGGGTGACACTCGGCCCGGCTGGGCGGCCCGGGCAGCCCCCTGTGCTTGCTGCATCCGAGCTGGGACATCCGGGCTGGGTCCCTGCGCGGGGCTGGGACAGCTGCGATGCCCAAGAGCCTGGATGAGCAAACCTGCTGCGGGCAGTTGTTCTCCCCGCCTTGCCTTGCAATGTCTCCTTTGAAAACAACACCCACAGAAGTGAAATCTGGCACCGTGGTGAATCGTGAGGTCTTTTTCTCCAAAAAATGGTTCCGTTTGCTCTTGTGCTCCAGCTGGAGTAGAGTTAAAGGCAGCAATTTCCCTGCTGGACAAGGAAGGAGATGCTGGCTCTGGAGCAGGGAACTTCAGGTGCCTGTTGAAATGGCAGATGGGGGCATGTGCTGGAGTCTTCTGGGGAGCTGCATTGAGCAGATGGGATTTTGGTGCCTGTTTTGGATGCGGGAAAAGGGTATGCCCTCAATCAAGGGCTGCATAGCAAAGCCGGTGAGAGCATTGGGTCATTTCTCTGTGAGCGCTATGCTGAGGAAGACGAAGCTGTTGGTGGGCTTGCAGTGTTTAATTAAAGCTGTGTTCAGCACTAGGAATATCCAGGACTCAGTTAAAAACCTGTCATTCTGGTAAATATCTTGTCTTGTGCTCAATCACTTTTCTTCCCCTCTGATGTTCTTGAGTCAGACACGACAAAACCCAAAAAGCATTGATGGCCAGTGCAAAATACTTTCTGAACTAAGGTGATTACAAAATAACCTTGTTGTATAACCTCGGTGGTGGCTGCTTAACACCTAGCTATGTGGAGAGCAGCAGAGTCCTGGGCTGAGCTGGCCAGGCTGTAGGCAGTGATCCTGGTCACCAAGTCACTGCAATTCACTGAGCCAGCAGGGAATTTGGTGAAAGTGATGAGACTTGCTGTGGCTTTTGCTCCGTCGAGTTCCTGGGTGCTTTACACATTGCTTTCCTGCAGTACTTTTCTACTTCTACCTTGGCTGTGTTCAAGCCATCGTTCCGTTGGTTTCAAAACCATTCTCTGCTCAATTTTACACCCTTCCTGAGGGATTTGCCTTAGTTCTGCCTGTGAGATACAAGTTACTTTTTCTGGATGAATTTGCTGAGCTATCCTCCTCCAGACTATGAATTTCTGATTAAATACTCCTATATATCAACAGCTTTGCAAATGAAATAGATGCAAAACATTTTTTATTTATTTTACTTGACAGGTTTCAGGCTCTGTGAATGAGGTCTGCTTTTTGCAGAGTTTGGTTAATAGGTTCTCTGAATGATATTTTATTGAAATACTTAGAATTTAAAATTTATTCCTCTTTTGTTCTTTTTGACGTGTTGCATCTTACTTTAAAGGGCCAGTGAAGCATGACCTCAGAGCTCTTCAGAAACTCTCCTGTCTCTCATTTATCGTTTTCACGGTTGTGAGCTTCCTTCTGTGTGGGTTTTGGTTTTTTTTTTTGTTTTTTTTTTTTTTTGTCAGAGAGAAGATTGGCCAACAAGCATATTCTGAAAGACATGTTTATCTTTAAGAAAAAACCCAACAGCGACCAAACAAGCAAGCAGCCGCACCCATCCAGCAGTATGATTTCTTATCTTGGAGCTTGACTCATAATTTTGATGGCTCCTTACTCTTATTGGTTTTTTTGAAAAGACTGTAGTTTTTGTAGCTATTCCCCTGGGTGCCACGCTGGAGAGCATTGCACTTGTGTAATTTTTTTTTTTCTTGTGTTCTTGTGTCCTCCCATCTCTTTTATATTGCCCTGAGCTGCAGAACCCCACAATCTTACCCCAGGCTTGTTTGTTTTTTTTTTTTTTTTCCTTTTTTCTGATATGGAGCAAACCAGGACATGCTTGAGAGTCTCTCCTGCTGAGGACTCTTACCTTCAATGCACACAAGAGCGTTTCACCAGCTTGGCTCTGCTAAGTATCCAGATGACTGTGGAGCTGGAAAATGTGTTTCAGGCTGTGTTTTGCATAGATGCTCTCAGATGTGAGGTTTCACCGCCTGGGTGTTATATGTGTTTTTCCTGTCACGGGGCGGTCTGCCTCTGAATCATGTTGCTGGGAGCTCCTGGCAGAGCAAATGCAGGGGCAGGGGGAACAGAGCCTTGTCTTCAGCCTTGCTTCATCAACCCCAGCCACAGCCCTCCCTCATATGTGCCTTGTTTGGTTTAATAACGGGGTTGTACAGCAGCTTTTCCCACAGCAAAACCTCTTTTCTCCTTCTCTTTAGAATTAAAATCGCTCCAAAGAATGTGTGTTAAGGTGGACTTTGAAACTCAAAGCTTATAAGTTCTTCACAGTCATAGCTGGAGTAATTCCTGTGCTTTCCTCACCTTCATTTTAATTACAGGGGAGAATAGTTCATCTCCCACAGCTCAAGCTGTTGGAAGGATATGTGTATGCTCTGCAAATAAATAAACTTTGTGCTTGCTTTCCCCTTTCTGTCTTCCACTTGATCTGGCAGATCTGTGATCCTGAACAATGCTGGGCAAGTATTGTTCAGGTTTTGGTGGATCTCTGTTTTGTCCTTGTGCTCCATCCACGCTGAGATTATAGAAGTTGCCTTGCAGGTGACTGGGAATGTACCACCTAAGGAAGCCTACAGTTGCTCTGTGTAAAGAGCAGCCCCCAGAGATGCTCAAGTTGCAGAGCTATCAGTGCAGCTTTGTGGAAGGTTGCTTGCTGCATCTCTTTCAGCTCTCGGCAGCCTGGGACATCCCAGTTGTCCATTTTACTGGGTAGTGCAGGGATTCTTTAAGGGGCTGGTTCATGCCACGCTGCAGATAGCTCAGCATGGCACTGCAAGAGCTGCTGTGTGGTGGAAGGCAGATTTCCAGAATGTGCAAGATAACTCTCGAGTACTGAGGGTAACAATCTCGGCGGGTTTGCCGCCATACACCTCCCCGTTTGAAGTAGCAAGTGGGTATTTCTGAAGCAAGTATTCAGACTGGAGTGCTTGCTCTGATTTTCAAGGTGGGTGGGTGCTCTCTGTAGCTGTGGGTTTGCTTTGACACCCTCAGCTTAAGGTATTTGTAGAGGGACCGGTGTAGATTGTCCCCTCTAAGTGTCAGCTCGAGTGCCAGCCACACTTGCGGGCTCCGCATCCTGCCGGGCTGCTCCTGCGCGTGCCATCCCCCTCTGCACTGCAGAACAGCTAAATCGGGGTTGCAAGAAAGCTGGCGAGAAGCCTGGATGTTCCTAGAAAGATATTGATTGCCCTGGACAGTTCGGGGTTGTTCCTTTTGTTTCCCTGGCTCTCGTCACGGGGTCGGGCTCGTTCGGGCGGCAGCTCACTGGAGGATGGAGAAACAGTGCCGGCTTTGCGGGCTGAGGCTGGAGCGGAGCCATCCCAGCCCGCCTCTCTCAAGTGTTAAGTCTGAAGCAGCCTGCCTGGTAATTCCATTAATGAGAGCCTAGTGCCAGAGAGATAAATGTAATTCCACGGTAAAGCTAACGCTCGGGCTCAAATGGAGAGGATTTGCTGGTTCTCCCGGGTGCACTGCTGTGAGTAATGTACTCCAGTATTACCCACAGACAATGTTTAAAGTCTACATGTCACTGCAAAGACTGGGCAGTGATAAAAAAATCTGCTGCTAAATCTTCATGTGAGGAAATCCTTAGCTCCAGAGTGTAGCTGTCTCTTTGCAATGGGTTTTACAGGGAATAAAAGTTTCCTGCTTAACTCCTGACATGCAGGATGGCACCATGCTAAGCAGCCAGCTGATCCAGGAGACAGCTTGCATGGGCTATAGCCAGAACAAGCTCTTTGTGTATAACCAATGCAGAACAGAAATTATACCCTTTGTGTGTCACACCAGAAAGCTTGCAAGCACCTCAGAGCCAGCCGCCACAATTGCAAGTAGCACAAGCTTCTCTACATTTTTGGCCATGAGGTCCGTGCATGAATTTGGAGCTTGCGGTTCTGGCTAGGTCAGTTTGATTTCTTTTTGAAATATTTTTTTTTTTTCTGATTTCTCACTTTTCTTAGTTTGATTTGCAGATCACATCTTCCTGTTTGCAGTTGTATAATACCCTTGTGGCACCATCATCAAGTCTTGTGTTGAAAAGGAATGGTTAATTGGGACATTTTTAGCTCTCCTGGTGGCTTGGATCCTGGAAATTGAATGCAGGAGCCAGCATCATTCAGCTTTCTGCAGAGGAGCTTCCCGTGCTGCAGGCAGCAGCTGAGCGGTTGTGTCTGACAGGGTGGGAGCTCACAGTGTCAGTGAGCCCCAGTGCTGTGGTACCCCAAAGTTCAAGCAAACAAATCACTTGCCTCATCTTTTGGAGCTCAGTGATGGATTTTCCTTGTCATCAGTCCAAGGTGGGGGAAAAAAGTTCAGTGAAGAAGAAGCATGTACTGGGGATGCTCAGCCCCTTTTATATCCCCATCACTCCAGCTTTGCCTGAGTGCCCATCAGTACATATCTCATCTCCTTAGTTAGGACTTGTGTCCCTGCTGGTGTCCTGACAGCAGAACTAAAGCCAGCTTGCTCAAAATGCTTGTTTGTTGGTGTATTCATTCTCAGCATTTGCTCAGCAGCTTGCTGGT